TCGAAATCTTTATATATATAATTCTTCTGTGAGTGTGTATGTCACTGAACTTCTCTTAAACGACTGGACCGATTTTGATGAAATTTTTTGTGTGTGTTCAAGGGGATCTGAGAATGGTTTAGATTCACAATTTTATCCGCTGGACAACCCCTATTTTTTTAGGGCGGTACGAAGTTCGCTGGGTCAGCTAGTTATATATAAATTACTGTAGAAACGAATATTATTGACGGACACCCCTGAGAACTTCTATAAACCATATACACTGAACATATTAAAATAATAAAAAACAAATAAGTTATATAGTAAACTAGGGAAATCAAGCCAAGTACCGAAGTTATGGATTAGATTCAGGTATATAGAGCATGTAGATTAACAGATAGTTGCCTGTTTTTAAAGTTAATGCATAAGAGTATCTTTTAAAATCAGGTGTCATTTCCGGTTATAATAAGGTACTCTGTGACAGAAACTGTGTGATGATTGTGAATGAGCCACAGATTAGAGAATTTTTAAACTCTCGTTAATCAAAGAAAGCTAAGAGATTTAGGTTCTATAGCCATATATTCAGTAGCTTCATTATTTTTGTTATGTTTTTAAGATAACCATATTTTAGATTTTTAGTGTATCACACCTTATAATTTTATTTATTTATTAATTTATAGTCAGGGAACGTAGGCCCATAAATAGATACCTTAAAGTCCAACATATATACAGATTATAATGTGTTTATGAAAGTGTTTGGCGAAAAATGTATGGCAATAGACTTTATGATGTCGCCTACCATCTATAATAATTGTCTGAGCACATTTGCATCTAGTGAAAATGATAATATAGTTGTGAATATTAATACCACAGTGTAATAAAAAAAATGATTTATTTTATCGATCTTTACAAAATATATTTGTTTTTATGTTATATAAACAACTTCGATCAGTCTTTGGCTGAATGTTACTACACCCATAGCCATTAAAATTGATTCGTATGTTTTCCAAACCGGTAAAATTAAAAGTCCTTTTTAAAGAAAATATATTATACAAAGGTGTCCGTTGAAATCTAATGACTGTAAATTAAATTATAAATTACGCCAAGAATTACCGTGTATGTCAATATTTTTTGTGCATTTCGGCCAATTTGAGCAATCTCCTTTCCTTTAAAGTTTAATAAAAAATAAAACTGACAAATAGTAAACACGGGTAGTCATGTTACGGTTTGGTAATGATAAGGTATGTCGGTTTTCAAGATACCACCTACTCACTCAAACGTCCTGGGTTCGAAATGGAAGTACAGTGCAAATGTATGATTGTGATTTATCTATTTTATTATTGTTTTAAGAACTTGTGGTAAATAGTAGGTCTATGGAATAGGCTAATAGAGTTCAGACTAGCAAGCTGCAGAACTTAATTTAAACCTGGAAGAATACAATAAAACGTATCATTACGAAATGTTTTATTTTTACAACAAGCATAATCATTTATAAAATATATTTTAACTTGATAAACATCTCTATATTATATAAACGTTAGTAAAGAAGGGATAGTGATCTATTATTCCATTTGAGTAACATAAATGTAACGACTGCGCACATAAATAGTGGAATGAGACAAAACATCATAGTAAAAGTCAAGCAGTTAATGTTATAGTTTATAATAGTTAAAAACTACAAGTTTGTAGTCCCGGCGATTACAGATCAAGGTATACACCCCGGCAAACTTCTTAAACAACGACTATAGACAAGTATAAGTACGCCAGCGCAGTAGCAATTTTACATACAAAAAAGTCTACTGCGTAAGTTTGTCTGTGGTTTGTGGTTTTGATCAAGAAATTTGCCGCTACCTATATCACAGGATATCTAAATGGACACTTGTTTTGAAACTAACCACTTAATGAAACAGCTCGTTATATAAAATGCATGTCAACAAATGAAACTTAATACCTTCGTCGATTTATCCACAACTGTCAAATCTCTCCAACTGACTTTGAACTTTATCTTGCTTCCCATAACATTCAAAATTGATTGTTAATTTGACACATAATGGTTATTCGATGTTGACTTATTTATTTACATTTCTTAAAGCATAAAATAAATAAGTCGCACAAACTGTTATGAAATGACACCTTAAAGGGTGTATTTACGTGACGTGGACTATAGCCTAAAAATTATAGAATAGCGTCTTATTAGTTACGCGAACAGCGTTTCGGAATTGTAAAATTCCATAAATTACAATAACAACAATGCCATTACAGAGGAATAGAGTTACAATGGTGCAATTTGACAGGTAGTGTATAATTTTATTAATATTATTTATGAATAATCCTTACACCTCAGACTTTTAACACTTTGACTAAAAGGATTCAATCAGTACCCTTAGTACGAACCAATATCGAATTCAATTAGTTGATATGAATCTCGATACGCGTCAGATGTCATAGTTTTGTATGGAAGATTTTGAATTCTCGTTACGTCCGTTGTGGCGTTGTTAAAATTTCCATACAAACTTTGTGATTTGACGAGTATCGAGGTCGAGTTCGTGCTAAGGATATTTATTTCTGCGAGTCAGATACCCGCAGAAGGCAAATGCTATATTGAAATAAGTTTTAGAGCAAGTAGGAATAAAAAAAATCCAATTCCAATACTCGCTCTGAATTACACATACCTATGTATTTTTAAGCTCTTATGGCCGCACTCAGACAAGTTTTAACTTTTAAATTGACTAAAGATGATGCTGCCGCTTTCTTTGTGATAATTAATAAAAGAAGGTGACATCGCACGAATTTATGAAATATTAAATTATTTGACATTAGTACAGCTGTTAATGTGACTGATTTGATTAAAATATTAAATTAACTGGCAACGCTCTGTTTTTTCAAAATGCACATTACACAATGCAACGGTCACACAAATTGAATATATAAGTAAACATCTCAAATACAATAAATACATGGCAACACGATTTTTCCTACGAATTTGTGAATAAAATACACATAAACACAATTTCACATGTGCAAGCCCCAAGCATGCAAGCAGAGCGAACAGAGCACCACTAGGCACAGTGCTTACATCCGGTACTCTGCTCTATGATTCGATATCCTACTTGGGAGTAGTGCTTTTCTGTGATACATATTAACAGTGGCTACATTGACGTCGTACATCTTATTCTATTGCTCACTTACTATAAAGGCTGACAATCTATACACAGTGCAAAGCAATGCTTGGCTTGTAAATACTATATTCTGTTAGTATCAAAGAGAAAAAAAATGGTAGGTACTTTTATAAAGATCTCGAGTGTTACCTTAATACTATTACAGAAATTCACACCCTTATAATATACAAAACAATAATCAAAGTAAGACATTGTTTAAAACTGATTCTGATTCGAATGATAAAATTTGCAATAATAATAAGATAAACAGGCCTACTTAATCGTGTAAGTTTTACCTATTGCAATTCCTTTCATTTCATACATGGAAAAGAGATTAGTTAGTATCATATTGACACTTTTCTATAGCTTCGCAGGGGATAGGGGAGAAAGGACATTGGGCAAAAATGTATGGGCGCTGCACCCACGTCCGCCACGGCTTAAACTACATTTTTTAAGTTAAATAATTACATGTAATATAACGAACGAACATTAATGAAACAAGGGAATTAATTAAGTTAGTTAGTTAGTTAGACCGTTCATAGGGGGCTCAGGTATTATAGGAGTACTTTACAAGGTGCCAGGGTGCCCCCTTATGGTACTCTGCCGCGCTAAAGAAACTCAAAATCCCCGCATGGGTTGGCGTTTTTTAAACATCCTGTTCGTTATAGTATACTGTCTTATATGTAAAACGGAGCGACAACAAATCACACAAACTTGTCCACTCTTCGGAGAAAACATAATTCGAGTTCATCCATACTCATTGACAAAACCGATAATCGTGTTCCAATGTCCAAAGTGTGTTAGATAAAAATCAATCAAGTAACAGGGAGAGCACAATCACAACGAAATAAGAGGAGTCGACTATTTGCAACTGCAAGTCCTTCAACCCCCGTAAACAGTTTTCAAGTGGCTGTTTGTATAGTATGATATGGCATATTATTATGGTTACTAATTATATAAAATGAAGGTACTAAAAATGAATTTATTTAGCTACTTAAATATGCCCATGTGTCATATGTTTTGACTACCAAGATATTTTTACGGTCATATCTTTTGACTACCAGGATATTTTTTTACGGTGTCATAATAAAAAAGGCTAGTTTTTCATAGATCTATCGATTTATACCGATTACATTGTTGGCGGAGCTGGGTGTGTTTTGCCTATTATCCATAAAGATCTTATTAGCACCAGTTGGAAAACGAGCACGTAACACCTCCTATGATGCAGACGTTTACATATTGCGTTAGACAAACAAATACTGCGCAGGCTTCTTTGTCTCGTGGTAGATAAAAAAAGCAAATGCGAGTGTCGTGACGGAAAAATCTTGCATTGTTTTAGCCTTGCCTTCATCCGCCAAGTACGTTCCGTGCGTTTAATTTAATTTAAATTGATCGATCTCTGCAAAGTAAAACGGTTAATGCGGTACAGTGAACCCAACGGTGCGTTTGCACCTACAAAAACATAATACATGTTTGAAAATGTCTGTAAATTCGTGAACAAATAAGTGGTATACATAAGGAATCGCAACTATAACATTTCATAATTAAATCGTTACTTGAAAATTACTGGCCTGTACTTAATTCATGGGCAAACCTCGGACTATCACGTAGATTTACCACCAAACATATTCTTAATGCTCAAAAAAAAACGAGCGAACCTTACAGTAGTGGCGTATGATGCGTAACATTTGAAACCTCACCTTATATTTAGTAAAAAAAGAAATAAAACCAACTACAAAAGGAATAAGCCATTTGAACATTATGTTCTAAAATCAAATCAAATAGCGCGCGCTTTTGCGACTACCCGTGACACACTTCCGTCCCATTTCACGAAATCACTCCCCACAAATTGCAAAAAGCAAGAGGAAAGATGTTACACATCAAAAATCAACATACATTGATTATTGTGAGCTCAGAAGCCCAAGCACGAATTTTGACACCTCCGTAATCGTATCGCATCGTCAAATATTATATGAAATCTAAGCAACGCCCCTATCGACCGTAAGAACAAAGTGGCTACTTCCATACAAAATTTGACGATGGAGATATAATTACGGATCATCAAAGTTTGTGCTTTGGCTACCGTGATCAGGATTTGTTCGACTGAAAGTTGTTACAAACGTCAATGAAGATAACGCTGTAAAGCATTATCCGTAGATAATCTCATGTCATTTACATGAGAATAAAAATACAGCCTTAGTTATATGCTATCGTATTCGTCATAGTTGAAGTCTACGGGCGGGATGGGCGCTAAGAGATCTTGTTGGGGATTAGAAGATTTCTTCTCACTCTTCGAATTCTTGTGTTTGTGTTTCTTCTCTTTTCTATCCGACCTGTCGCTGTAATCGCCCTTGTCTTTATCTTTGGACTTTTTCTTTTTATGCTTTTTCCCTGTCTGCAATATTAATACTATACATAATCGATTGCTCGATTTAGAGAGCGACTGCATCTAAGCATGTCTTTCTCGCTCAATTAAGTAATTGTAGTCTTTCGAATAAGTACTAGTGAAATTATATTGTAAACATTAATAAAAGAATGCATAAGTTAAATAATTATATTGACTTAATAAAGTTATCTTTTTTTTATTGGATTTGCAACTGTATATCTGAAATACTTTTTATGTCTTTCTATCAACAAGATGCAAAATGTTAATTGTATTGCATATATACATGATTTTTTTTTCTAATTTCTATAAATAACGTAAAAAATATTCATTAATTTAAGTGTTACCTTTTCTTCAGCTTCTTTGGCAACATCAGGGTCTTCACCGCCTGTGAAAAGTAAAAAATGGTTAAATTGTTGATCATTAAAAATAGGTAATAATGAGGAATCATTGGACGATACTTTAAAACTTGATTTAAGGTTTAATAATTTAGTGGTAGAAAGCTCGCCTGATACGTGGGCGCTTCAGGTTCGAATCCCAGCCGCGGATGGACATTTTTATTAATAATTTTAAAAGTTACTTGATTCGTGCAATCACTAATAACACCATTTTTTATTGTTAGTATAAAAAAAAACTTAAAACTTAGAAAATTGACTGAGCATTCCTTGTTCAACTGTAAAATAAAACTAAGCAGCTTGAGACAGAGACGAAGCGATCACCTCTTTCCTTTTCTAAACAGTTGTCAAGAACTAAAGCATAAAAGTAATGCTATGACGCGCGAGCGTATACTCCCATAGAAAAAAGATTTCCAAAGAAAGTATTAGACAACCAAAATGTATTAGTGGCGTGTTGGCAGTTTGCATTAGCTAGCTACTAAGGTATCTGATTTGACATTTGTATAGTGGTACGCACTATGGAGGTTAGAGAGAGGAGAACGAACGCTATAGACAATAGTATCCCAGAAATATGGACAAAATAAGTGAGGCGCGCGATCGCTAAGTTGTCTCAATAAAAGCGGGCTGTTGTGCGCTAATTTGAAATGACCAATGCCGCGAAGAAAATTTGTACATTATTCAACTAACTTTATCTACTTGTACCTACTCATTAACAGCTAACTTCACAGATACTACCTACCGACGGCAGCGCGGCTGGTGGCTGAAAAATGAACTAAAAATTCTACAAATTTTCAGGGACAGGCGGGCTCTTTAACCTCCATGATACGCACGCTGTTCATGGCAACATATATTTGTCTCTTTGTAAGGTCTATATGTAAAAATTAGATAACTATATTTGTCGACTTTATGAGTTGAATTAAAACTCAAACCCGCTTATTAATAAACTAGGAATAAGCTAAGACTAGTTACGCCCTGGTTTGTCCATGTCGCTCAAGTGCCATTTGTAATTCAATGAATAGAAACAAAACATAGAGTAACTAATCCAAGCTTTTTCTTCGTTTATTAATAAGGGGGTTTAAGTGTAAGCTAGTAATAATAATAATAATCTTTATTTCTTAACCATGAAAAGTATACTATTTAGCGTTAACAACCGCAGTAGTCTAGGACTGTGTTACAGTTATTAGCACCCACCCTAAGGTGACAGGCTCACTCACTCACAGGCAGGAATCACTTACTTGAAATTCGGACCGCACGATCTTGCTTACTAAATAAATTTTTAATTATCATAAAAATGACATCATTTTAAAGGTTCATCTGTCAACTTTAAATTGATACCAAATTCATTCAAATCAAGTCAGTACTTAAGGAGCTATTCCGGATTAAGTGAAGGAATATGGAAAAATAATGAATAAATAAAACAACAAAAAATAATGAATAAAAAAAATATTTAGCCTTAAGATTAAGTGTCAGCACTTTGTGTTCCCTCCCCTCGCCCTAATAACTGCTCGAAGACGATTCTTCATAGATCTGATCAGCTCCTGAATTGATTCTTGTGGGATACCTTCCCATTCCTCAATCAACGCCGATTTCAGCTCATTCAGTCACGAAGAAGCAGAAGTTCTGGAACGAACCTTCCTCTTCAGTTCATCCCGCACGTGTTCAATTAGATTTAAGTCAGAGCTGAGCGCTGGCCAGTCCAATGTGGCGATACCGACTTCTTCGAGGTATTCAGTTGTTACGCGGGCAATGTGACAACGAGCGTTATCGTGCATAAGGAGGAAGTTATCACCGATATATCCCGCATAGGGAACGACATGTTCCAGCAGCATATCGGAAATGTACAAGACTTGCCTCCATTGCTCAACCTCCCAATAAAGATGGGTGCTTGTCGGTGAACTGCCATAAGTTTCAGGCCTGTGGGAGGCGTTTTTGGAGTCAGATTAGGTTGCTTGAATCGTCGATGAACTGTCCACTCGCTGGCTGCTACCCCACGAACATCTCGGAGCTCCTGTTGGACGTCGACACCAGTTAAATGCTGATTTCGGAGAGAGGTTGAGACGATAAAACGATCATCCCTCGCCGATGTGCACCGGCGCCGTCCAGATCTTGGTCTCGGGATAAAGCCACCAGTCTCCCGAAAGCGCTTGTAAACTTTCGAAACACAGGACTGGCTTATATGAAGCCGACGAGTGACAACCCGCTGGCTAATTGGCCCCGCTTCTTGCAGTTGGCTACGATTTGTGCTGCTTCTGTAGCTGTTGTCTCCATTGTCGTACAAGGTAAAGGGTCAAAAGTAGCGGGGATGTGTACCGGTTAACGTGTGAAAGTCGACTGATAAAGAAAATCCGATAACAGGTGCTTTTATGGGGGTCAATAGGTCGTAACTCGCGACGTATCAAACAATTCCAACACGTCTTTTTCGTTATTCCTTCACTTAATCCGGGATAGCATCTTAAATACTGGCTTGATTTTAATGAATTCGGTATCATTTTAAAGTTAAGATTTGAACCTTTAAATGGTGTCATTTTTACGATAATTAAAAAAATATTTAGTACACAAGATCGCGCGGAACCAATTTCAAGTAAGTGATTCCAGACTTTTGTTCGCGAGTGTAGTTTTTGTTCTAAGCTATTCTCTTTTTCTTGTCTATGAAGAAAACGTACGAAACTTACCTTCCGGCGATCTGCGGGCGCTCGAATCGCCCGCCCAAAGCGGATATTCGTTATCAAGCGAGTCCAAATTATGATTACTGTCCAATGTATTCACAGATATACAACTCTCAGTCTCTTCGTTACTAAAGCCCGTACTAACATTATCCTTATTAATGTTCGATGCACTGAGCAACTTGTTCAGATTGTCTTCTTCGTTGTCTACGCTTTGTGTAGTTTTGATGGAATGTCTCGTATGCTCTTGGTGGTATGTTGTTCTTAACTCGGCAACTTTGCTCGCAACCGGTGGGGAGCCTTCTATGTCCAAATCGTCGAGGTATACATTGACCTTTGGATTAGTCGTGTCTTCGTCACTGAGAAACAAACATACCTACTTATTGGAACTTTTAAAAGAATTTGGATTTCATTTTTATTAAACAGATTTAAATAAAAAAGTATTTTTATATAATATAGTCTATTATATAAATACAGCTTCCAAACGAGGATGTGCTTTACATTATTTTTTTTTCTGTTACACGAAAAGGCATCTGTTGTTTATTAAAATCTAAGTTTAAGTAGCGAGTAGCAATATTGGCCTTTTGATAAGGCGTAAAAAATATCTACATATATAAATAATAATTAATCTACGCAATGAATGTACGCAAATAACTTTCGAAAGACTGCACCAAATTGTTTTTTTTTTAATTGGACGTAGTTACGCGAAAACGTTCCAACCCACAGCGACCCCATTTTGAGATAAACGCAATTTTGTGTTTTAGCGGTACACTTTTTCCCTGTAATTATTTCAGGCAAATACTATTGGTGTTACTGTGGAATGCCAAACTGGTTATTGAATGATATGCATATTTTTTGTAAATACATAATACAAGGGGCATATAAATAGGTAAAACGAGTTTGAAACGTTTTCGCTAAATTTAATTTTGTATGAACCTTGTTAAATAGCAATTATGCATAAACGTTCCAGAACGAATTTAAGTGTATTATTTTATAAATATATCTAAAATAAATATGTAAAATAATAAATAACAATGAAGAACATACAAAAACAACAAAAAAAAATTGAAAATGTATTACAAAAAAAATAGAACGTGATCTTTTGAGCTTAGAACCTATGCCAATTTGCTGATATGGTTCCAAAAGTTATCAAAAACTTATATTATAAACATTCAATTTTCATCATCGTATTCTATGATCTCGAAGTCCGGAACTCCACCAAACCCATCAACATCATCAGTGCTTCTTCAGAACTTTGAAGCGTTCTATAAAATTGAAGGCAATCCACTTCCTGTGCACCTCTTCTACCTCTCCTTCTACCAATACATAACAATGCCCAGTATCATTAAATGCACTATGGATACCACTATTGTAGAACTAAGTAAAAAAGTTAAACCTCTTCAAGTTTACAAAATGACAAAGACTGATTTTTTTAGTACAACTAAACTGGAAAAGAAGATTATCAATAGGAAGAAGTTTACAGACTCATCTAAAGTTAGTTGGCTACATACAAAAGAAATTAAGTTGGATAAAGATAAAATGTTTTCTATTTTTATGCGGTCTACGATGGAAGACGATTTCAATGAGTTGAAAATTGATAAAAGAATAAAACGAGAACTGCAATACATAAAAGAATCTCATTTTTGCTTATTGTGGCCTAACGACAAACCGATTGCTCCAGCGAAATTAGTGGACTTACAATCCATGTACCACTACATACCCGAGGATTGCCTTCAATTTTATAGAACGCTTCAAAGTTCTGAAGAAGCACTGATGATGTTGATGGGTTTGGTGGAGTTCCGGACTTCGAGATCATAGAATACGATGATGAAAATTGAATGTTTATAATATAAGTTTTTGATAACTTTTGGAACCATATCAACAAATTTTTGGCATAGGTTCTAAGCTCAAAAGATCACGTTCTATTTTTTTGTAATACATTTTCAAATATATTTTTTTGTTGTTTTTGTATGTTCCTCATTGTTATTTATTATTTTACATATTTCTTTTTAATACACTTAAATTCGTTTTGGAAAGTTTATGCATAATTGCTATTTAACAAGGTTCATACAAAATTAATTTAGCAAAAACATTTCAAACTCGTTTTACCTATTTATATGCCCCTTGTATTATGTATTTACAAAAAATATGCATATCATTCAATAATCAGTTTGGCATTCCATAGTTAAACCAATAGTATTTGCCTGAAATAATTACAGGGAAAAAGTGTGTAAATTGCAAATTGGGGTTGCTGTGGGTTGGAACATTTTCGCGTTACTACGTCCAAATATACCATAGTTATTTATTTTGGTAAAAAATATCTTTTTCTCTAGAACATATTTAATAGCAAAAATGGATCAAGTATATGTGGATTGTTTATAGCTAAAAATTTTAAAATAATATATTATAATAATAGGTTTCAATTTATTTAGAACAGTGTTCGCAGCTTAAAAAAACAGTATGGATTAATCTAAAAGGTTTCAAATTACATGGAACATTTTTGCAGAAATAAAAAATGTATAAAGATTTTGCAAAAACGTTCCAACCCACATGGATCATTTAAGAAACCATTAAATGTGCGTTTTATGAATTTAGTATAATGTTCCAAGACAAGTGGAACATTATAACGATATGTTATTCTATTAAGAGTTTTTAACAATATGTTTCAGTATGCATGTAATGTTTTTACTTTATTTTGAGTACACGTCCTTGGCATAATGGTGGGTTGGAACATTTGGGTTAAACTTTATTGATGAAACTAACTTAAAAATACTAGCATCTTTGTGTGCACATGATGTAATATGGCAAAAATAGTACCCTGGTTATGGTAACTCATTTTCGAGTGACTTGTGGGTTGGAACGTTTTCGCGTAACTACGTCCAATTGTGTTCATTATCGTCAGGACAGTGTTTGCATAAAATAAAATAGAAAACAAAAACAAGTGGCGTTAAGAAGTTCACCGGGTCAGCTAGTAAATACAATATTTTGTGCACATGTTCATTCATATATTACCTGCGGCCGCCCGCAACTTCGTACGCGAGGAGTTAGTTAGAAATAAAGGTTCACTGCTCGTTCCCCGTAGGTGATAGCGTGATAATATGTAGCCTAGACTCGACTTCTTAATAATATTCGTGGCAAATTTAAGTAAATCCATGCAGTCCTTTTTGATTTTATGTATACCATACAGACAAACAGGCAAAAATTCTAAAAACTATATTTTTGGCTTCGGTATCGATTGTAGATCACACCTTTTAAAAAAATATTCGATGTACAGTTTCTTACCATTTTATTATATGTATAGAAGATGAACTTCTTTTTCTGTTACCTGTCGGTTTCATAAGCATACTCTTGGTTTGCGTTTGGCATGGGAGCTAAGTCTTCCAGGAAGCTGCTGTCCAGTGTGCCGGCGTAGAATTCGTCCAGACCGCCAGACGCAGCTGATGTGTTTGCGAGCGATGGTGTACTTGGAGTACTGCACAAAAGTAAATAAGTAGTAGTAATTATTTTTTCAAAACACCAATTAGCCTAGCCCCAAATTAAGCGCTGTAAGGCTTGTGTTATGGGATTCTAATGTAACGGATAGAATACATATAAGTATAAGTACTTATATAGAAATACATATGTATTTAACATCTATGACTGGATTACATATATAAATGTTCGTAATCATCACACAAACATCTGCCCCCACCGGGATTCAAACCCGGGAGCTCTCAAGTCGGCGACACCATGAAACCCGGCGTACAAATCACTCAGCCGCGGAAGTCACCACGATTGAATTGAGTTTTAATTTTGAAAATTACGTTTTATACTTCTAATAATGTAACTACCGTCACTATTTTGCTGGAGTTTGTTCAATTCGCATTATGGTAACAAGTACCTATATAAATACATTTTGTGAAGTAATCATCTGATCATGTACTTATCAGTACATGTATTCTATCCGTAACCCTAGTATCCCATAACACAAGCCATGCAGTGCTTTGAGGGTAAGCTAATTGGTGTGTTATTAGAAATATTTATTTAATTAATTAATAAATCAATCGTTAAATGGTCAATGTGTAAATTCATTAGCATGATCAAGGTGCCTTAGCAGTTAGGTCATTAGTAGACTTTTGGTGGTACAACATGGAGGAAAACTTGATACTGGCGATACCATTTCAGAGCAAAGGTATACATAGCTGCAATTTGAACAACAGAAATAAGACGTAAGGTCTATGGTTCGTTTCAAGCACCATTTAATGGAAGACTTACCTATCCTGAGGTATTCGTGGCGGTGTCATCTCTACGCTGACAGTTTGTTTGGTCTTCAACAGATCGGGATTCACGTATTGCGTTTGTGCAGGCACTTCGGTCACACCAGTAATGTTCGGTGGTGGGTTTAGCGATTGTGCTAACTACAGTTGAAGAGAAAAAAACGTATTGAGATTAAAAATGATGATGTTGTAAATTGATAAAAGGCAGAAACAGGCATATGAAACGCCACGCCACGCGTATTTTCTATGGCGCGCCCCGTTTAGGGTTACAATTTAGGAATTTCAAAAGTGCTGACAAAAATCCTGCCGTTTCGAAAAAAGTCTGTACTTTTAAGTCACAAAATGGTACCATTAGTCACTTAGTTATAATAATATGGTATTTAAATCAATATGTACTTTTATTATTCATATTCAATGTAATTTAAAAATCCGGAAAATTTAAAGATCCGGACAAAGTCCGGACTATGGTGCAAAAGTCAGGACTTTTTTTTATAGATAGGTCCGACAAATGACTCCACCCCACCTGATGTTAAGTGAAGGTGAAGTCCAGACGCAAAGATAGCTGATACAGCAGTTCTACCTGCCATACCAGCCATCCTCACCATGCCGGCCTGCATGTTGCTTCTTAGCGCCTCTTTTAAAGGATCCCAGGTTGATAGAGGGAGGGAACACGTGAGCGGGCAGAGCATTCCATTTACGGATAGTGCGACAAAGAAATGAGTCACCAAATTTCTTTGTACGCGTTGGAATTGTAGCCACAGTTAGACGGTGACAACGTAATAAATAAATAATAATAAATATTTCCAACCCTCACACCAATTAGCCTAGCCCCAAAGTAAGCACTGTAAGGCTTGTATTATGGGATGATAGGGTAACGGATAGAATACATGTACTGTACATATATAGGTATATTTATATAGAAATGCTCGTATTCATCACACAAACATCTGCCCCTACCGGGATTCGAACACGGGTACTCTCGAGTCGGCGACACCTTGAAACCAGGCGTACAAACCACTCGGCCACGGAGGCCGTCAAAACGTAAGCCAGCGTAACGTAAGGTATTATTGGTTTGCCCGCTCCAGCACGATGCTTGGCAAGCGCTACGTGCCACCCAAGATCTGCCTCCGTTTGCTCGCCAAGTGATCCATAAATGTGTTGTAGTTAGTTTCCTAGGAACATTTGTATGGTACCCAATCAGACGGTGCGTCACACTAGTTCTAGGAGCCACGTACTGCGGGCTCGGAGCTGGCCAGCAGATGCCGGTGATGTCATCTTAAATACGTGACAGTCGTATGGTCTCCCAGTCTATAACAATGCTTACCAACGGGTTGACGTTGGGCGGTATTATTGGCTTGCCTGCGCCCAGCACGATACTCGGCGAGCGGTCCGCACCGACCCGGGGCTCCGTGCCGCCCGAACTCTGCCGCCGCTTGCTGGCCAAGCGATCCAGAAACGTGTTGTAGTGAGCTTCCTCGGAATTCTAACAATGAAAACCTTTGTTACGAAAGCAGTTACTTGTACTGTAACCGTATATCCAAGTACTTAATTTTAGACTAAATAACCGGAATTTAATCGGTAAGCAACGTCGCTATTGTTTTGCTCTAAGTTCGGTAGCACTAGTTGTCAAAATGAACTGACAGATGTGAAGGGGTATTCCAGTGAGCGCGTCTTATTCTGTGTATTGTAAACTTGTAAAGTGGACGTGTCTTCTTATGAGCCCTTTTACAAAATTGCGCCTGTGCCTGATCGGCGGGTAGGTAGATTTGCACTAGTATATATTGCATTTTACGGGTGATGTTTCGAGTGTTATTAAAATAATTACAAATGAAACATCAAGCAGTTACATGCTTTAAAAATAATAAAAATTATAATTACAAATGAATTAATTATAAAAATATATACATATTTCAGTAGTTCAATGATGGTAGATTTGATTATGAAAGTTTTTCATAGTAATTCTATTTAATTCAATATCAAAATACGAGGTAAACCTGCATTGTTTTTTGGGAAAACTCACGGAGGTTAGATTTTTTTTGATGATTAATAAGATGCAAAATCAAAATTGTAATACATTATGTTGCAACAAAAACATATTTCTGATGTCGTAGTAATTAATTTGATTTAATTTATTGAACATCATTTAGAGAATTAGGCGTTTGAAGTTGTGCATATTATCGTTTTTTCCGTAAACTAGCTGCGGTAGAACGGTCCGTACAAAAAAAGGAAAATAGTATGTGAAAATAGTAAATATTCTACATTAACTTACAATAGGAAGAATTAATCTACTGTTTACTTCTATTGGAAATAATCAAAATCTTTTCTAAGGGGGTAAACGAGGCGCTCAAAAATTGCGATATTTTGCAAAAAATGTGAAAGGGCTCTTAATAAATACAATTTCTAAAGTAAACCGAGTTTTATCTAACACTAATAAGATTTTTTAACAAATATTTTAAATTTCGTAAATTTATATCAGCAAACCAGGATCACGGCGCAGTAGCTCGTTTGGCTAGTCATCAGATGGGTGACCAAAAATGCATTAACTAAAAGGAAGGCATTAAACTTCAAAGATGATTTTTTTTGCTGCCATCTCCAAGTAATTAAAGAAACTAAATGATATCTATACTAGTTGGAGCATTGTTACCATGTTTTAGCCTAATGGGCATGCATTTAAAAAAAATGCAAACCATTCCATGTGAAGTGCCACCACGAATTATAAATAAATATAATACATTAATGCAAATTAGATTGAAGTCTTACTTGAAAATCATCTAATTCTGTCTCTATCTCCTCCATATCCTTCTGATTTCTTTGCAACTGTTCAAGTAAACTAGTCCTTTGCAGCCTTAGGAATGGCACACTGAGAAATTTATGTAACAACCGCAAACCAAAACCATTTCTCATAGAAGATTCAGCATAACGCACTGGTGCTGTTCTGTACAATAATAGGAAAGTACATTATCTCCTACTGCTAATATTATTTGTTTATATTATATTAAGCATTCCAAAAAGTTATATGACCTGGTCATCTTGGCATGGTGAAGGGCTTGTTCTATGTGATGCATATGCACTTGACGATGATGTTGCATGTCACAATGGTTACCCAAAACTACCACAGGTAGGTCTGCTGGTACCTGTGACAGCTCTTTCACCACATACTCAAACGTCCTGTAGAATAATGTTAATAAATACCATGTCAATAGTCTCCAAGACTATTCTCTTACTATTACTTTCTGTAAGTTCGTATTAATAAGAGCCAATTTACAATGCATTGACCTTGAAAATTAGTAATAAAATCTGACGCTATTGATAAACATCAATACTATTGTCTTTTTTGCTTTTGCCTGCATCAATACTCTCAATATATTAAATAAGTATATATTTAATATATTGAGAGTATTGATGCAGGCATTCTAATATTGATATAATATTAATTGATGTTATTGCTTGTTCTATAAACTATTATTATGGTAAAATATTACAGATAGATACTTTGCAAATATTCAATAGTAGATCTTGTAGACTACTGTTTGGGCAAAATATTTTTCATAAAAGGAAGGTCCAAAATGAATGATTCATTTTGGACCAAAAACTGAAAGCGCCGGCCAGGATAAAAAATTGTAATATTCGGATAGAAAACACAATTCCTATCATTTTTTACTACGACACCAAATCTGTGCGCCCTTTGGTTACGGTGTTACCTACCTTTAAAATACAATAAAAATGTTATTATGATGTTGTTATTTTCATAGATTTGATCATGTATATTTAATTATTCATACTGTGTATGTCCTTTTGATGTGCAATAAAGTGAATTCCATTCTCTATTAAGAAAGTATTTTCATCATTGATACTCTACAGCCGGAGCCACACCAACGGGAAACACCGTTAATTATCGCGATAAGTTGTGGCTGCACCTACGCGCACCACTCCTAACATCGCGATAATCAACGGCGTTTCCCGTTATACGCGCCGCACAGACAGAGCGTCACAATTCGCAACAAGTCCAAACCTGTTTTAAGTAGCTACCTGAAAAATCAACAACGGTTTGTCCCTCCCCCCCGCCGCAACTACTGTACTCCCCGCGTCGCCCGTTCTTTTGTTTTGTTCAGTTATCCATGCGACTCTTGTTACATCGGACGGCTTCATCGCGACTTGCTTAACTCCTCAGTTAATATTGTTATTCTTGTTTGTTGTTATTTGTTTGTAGTTATTTTTTGTTGTTGTTATTGTTTTAACTGACGTTATGAGTACAGAATTGTGTATTTCGTGTCGTACGCCTATCGGTGATCGTCGAAGTTATACTTGGACTTCCCGAGAATCACAGCATATAGAGATTACACAGTTTGTTATTGAAGATCTAGTAGTTCGATAGGTATGAATAATTATTTTATTTCATTCTATGTAGTTATTTATCAAGCATTATTTATTTCACACGTTTTTGTTTCTATATATAAGTACACCTTTGTACTGAACTAATCATTGTATCACCTTGTATGTATATGTCGCAGCCAACTGGTTAAAATAGCCGTTCAATCAAACAGGGCTAGCCTTTGACTGAACAACGCCATTCAACCACACGTCTAGCTTTTTAATTGAATATTTGAGTCGCTCAAAACGTTCAACACTACAGCTGATTCAAAAGCCGCCGTCTAATCGAATTAGTTCAGCGCTCACCACCGCGGCGCTAGGTGCGTTTTGTTTTCAATATGGCGTCAACTAGCCGGTGTTTGTGATTGTTTCAAGATATTTTTCGGAAAGAAAGTGTTAAATATACGTTACTAGTGTTATTAAAGAGACAGAAATTATGGGAGCACTTACGGGATTACGGGGGATAGTGGGATGGGGCTAGGTTAGGTTAGCGTTGTGACCATGTCGCGCGAGCCGAGCGAGCGTAGCGAGCGTGCCGCGGCATAGGCCGGCGAAGCGCCAGAAAAAAAAACTGTTAACAGAAAAAAAAACTGTTTATATTAACCAGTTGGCTAAGCGTCGTCTAGCTGTAGTGTTCAACGTTGCAGTCAACAAGTCGGCTAAACGACGTATAGCCGTGTGATTGAATGGCGTTGTTCAGTCAAAGAGCTAGCTGTTTGATTGAACGGCTATTTTAACCAGTTGGCTGCGACATATACACCGTGAAATCGAACCTTACTTGCTTAGGAAACAAAACGATTAGAATATCACGGCTCATGTACATGTGCAACGAATAATACATGTTTCTTGTTTTACAGGAAGAACCTATAGAGGTTATTTGTCGACCCTGTTGGCAACTGGCTGAGCGTCGGTATCTCCGACACCAACGTGAAGTCGATCATGACGTTGCAGACGAAGAAGTCAACGCTGAGCCTCAAGCTTCACCAACCATTTTACCCGGGTTCAGCCGTACTGGTAATTCGGCGAATACGTGTGTATTTCAACACTGTCCAAATACAACGAGGCGCAGAATACCCGAAGATATCATACTACGAATGTTATGCCGCTACAGCCTATTCATTACCGAAAATAGCCGTGTATGCAATGAACACCTTGAGCAAGGTGATTGGCAGTTACTTGCGTTGCAAGACAATTTTATCGGAGGATTCAGAGCAACTCAAATTGTTTGTGCTCTAAGATAATAAGCCATATCAGCATAGAAGGTTTAGATTTTGAACAATATGAACTAATAAGTGATAAAGAATTTCATGACTGGACTGGCCTGACTATTGAACAGTTTACTGACTTATTAGCCAGCACACCTAGCCTAAATCAAAGAAGAAACAAAAGAACTATTCTAGCAGCTTTGTTAGCAAAACTCCAAACCGGCGAATCAAATGCACGGCTAGCATCGATTTTTAAAACCAGCGAAGCCACTTACTCGCGAATGCTCCATACTGGCAGACAAGCACTACTGCAGGACTTTGTTCCTATTCACTTAGGCTTTGACCATATGACCCGGGAAGATGTAGCACGGAGGAACCTTATGATTCCTGAATGAATTTTTGGAAACCCGGAGAGTCCTACCGACGAAAGAAAAGCTATAACAATTGTAGATATGTAAGTGCCACATATATATTCAAAAGAGTTCAAACTACTTTTTTCAAAGGAAATCCTATAGCAGCCACAAGTTCAGAAACTTATTAAAGCCGTTTCTGTTTGTCTGTTGTGACGGGCACATCATAGAAGTTTCTGGTCCACACGCTGCTACTTCTTCAGATGCGCATATAATGCTTAATATTGTACAAAATGAAAATGAACATGGCGACGGATTATTTCAATGGTTTTATCGAAATGGGGACGTTTTTATTTTAGACCGTGGCTTCAGAGATACAATTTCCACCCTTGAAGGATATGGATACTCCGCTAAGATGCCAGAGACTAAGCTTCCTGGGGAAACGCAACTTACAACAGAACAAGCTAATAAGTCGCGACTTGTTACTATTTGCCGATGGGTCGTGGAAGTCGTAAATGGCCGATTTAAAAGAGATTTTCGGCTGCTAAGACATGTCCATATCAATATAACACTGCACAATATGATGGATTATTTTAGAATTGCTGCCGCATTAATAAATGCCTATCACGTTTTGATAGTGGATAGCGTTCATGCTACTGATATCCTTCAAATAATAGGTGAAAGAATAAACATGCCCAATACACTGGGAGATCTTGTAAATAGACACAATTTAAACCGAAAACGAGCACAGTTCCAACCCATGGCTGCGGATATGGCAAATTTCAATGATTTTCCAACATTGACAGAAGAAGATTTAATATTATTCAGCCTTGGTGTATATCAGCTCAAACAAGCAAAAAGCTATTACGGAGAGCACCTTCAATCCGACGGAGCTTTTATCATCGAGCTCGGTGGTGGGATTCCTCTGGAAATAGTCAGGGAACTTGAAAGGGAAGACTTGTGGATTATAAGAGGACGCATACGATCCCGCCACATTCAAGCTAAAAAATACTACGTATATATTGCACTCGATCGGGCAGCAAATGGTCGTCGAGCATTAGCTCATTATTATTGTACATGCAATATCGGCAAGAGGACCATTGGATGCTGCTCTCATACGATGACCATAGTCTGGTACATGGGTTATGCTAGACATGACCCATACCTCACCCCACCTGCAATAGCATTAGATGATGTTTATGTTAGATTAGGACAAATATAAATGAATTAATACTAATAATTAATATTAATTGAATGTTGTTTCATTTTGCTCTTTATGAAAGGTACTGAATCTAAATGAGGAGCTGGTGGTATTGTTGCTTGTTTTTTCCATATTTAATATACTTGACCAAATGTATTAAAACAACACATCTTAACAACATTTTATTTCACATTGTATTTTAAAACCATGTAACAACATAACCATAGGGCGCACAGGTTTGGTGTCATAGTAAAAAATAATAGGAATTTTGTGATCTATCCGAATATTACATTTTTTTTTTCTGGCTGTCACTTTCAGATTTGGCCCAAAAATGTATGGAACGTGAATGATGTCCTTTTACTTCCCAAAAAGCTTATAGCCCTAGTTTCATTTCCCAATGAATCTCGAGCAAATTAAAAACTTGCATACGGCATGCATTCCATCAATAAATAGGGTAAGCAAATGTTTAGGTAATGGGCTGATGCTGACTAATTTAGACCCACCAATACCAAATCATCATCATTTTTACAATCATATCAATTTAGTTTTATTTCATTTCCATTCCAGTAAGTTAAACATAAAAGAAAGCTATATACAGGGTGTAAAAGAACCAATGACAAAAACTAAAACTACGCATTCTGTACACCCAAACAAGTAACATTACAAAATATTATACGTGGGAAATCATTTTTATTTTTAAGTTAAAAATATATAATTTTTTTTCCAGTACGCAATGTATAGCGCGCCGCGCTACTGTGGCGCTACGCAAATAATGTGCCTGTGTGTAAGTGTGTGCGTGTGTGTAAGTGCGTCGATAGAACGCGCTTCTCCACTACCTAGCGGGAGTATTATGTACACAAAATTACTTGATTATTTACTTCCAAAGTTCCTACATTTAAAAACAGCCCTTATGGAATTTGTTTAGATTTAGAGCTACGTAAGTACTTTTACTACTTACCGACTACTCGACCTCGTCTGGAATCGGCCGCTCGAACCGGATAAGTTGTGGCTCGAACTGGCGACCTTCCACATGTAAGCAAACGCGTGCCCGGTACAGCGTATTTTGATGGACGCGCTCCAGTATTCCTTCCCGTACAGACCGATATTTCAGTTCTTCAAATACGTCAATAATTTTTTGACGCATTTGATCACTAGTCTGACAGGGGCGGTCAAAAACACGGTCTTTGACGAAACCCCACAGGAAAAAATCCAAAGGCGTCAAATCAGGCGAACGCGCTGGCCACGCGTGCGGCCCATTTCTGCCGATCCAGTGGTCTCCGAACAGCTCCGTCAGCCGCTGCCGAACTGGTCTTACGATGTGAGGCGGTGCACCGTCGTGCTGGTACCAAGTCTCCCGCAACTCGGCCAGCGGCATGTCGTCTAAGGCCTCCGACAAATCGGTGTCAATTAAATTTAAATAGGCGGCCCCGTCCACTCTAGGCGGCAAAAAAACGGGACCGAGGATCCGGTTCCCCACAATGCCTGCCCATACGTTGTGTTTCCACCGCGCCTGGAAGCCCGTTTCTTGAGTCTGGTTGGGATTTTCTGCAGACCAGTAATGAGCATTTCGACGGTTCCACATGCCATTATTAGTGAATGTGCTTTCATCAGTGAAAATGATGTGTCGAACAAAACCTCGATCTTGTCTCAACAGCCACTGACAATAAGCCATGCGGCGCTGGGCGTCGCCTGGTACCAGTGCTTGCACGCGGTGGATTTTATACGGCCTCTGCCTGTCCCTTCTTAAGACTTTATGCACGGTGGTATGGGACACTACATGTCGACCGCGATGGCCATGCCTTCTACGCAAAAGTCTAGCTGCCGTTCGAACGCCTAAACGTGGGTTTTCCCTCATTACGTCTAAAATGGCTTGTTCCGCCGCAGGTCGTATTTGCCCGCGCCCGCCCTCCGAAACTGGCACTATCGGCTGATTGTCCAGCAAACGTTGTACAGCCCGAACAAAAATACGTGCATCACCCGGGTGATTCGCCGTGGGATATTCAGCCCGATACAGCCGCAGAGCTTCGGAAGAGTTTCCACGTGCTCTCCCGTAACAGAGAACCATGTTTACGTACTCACGAGCAGTATACGTTTGGTTAGGTATCTTCTAACACACACACACACACTTTCACGTTCACAAATTATCACTTAATTGAAATCGCACGAGATAACAATAAAAATCGCAAATTTGCAATTTGAAAAGCGCATTCGATGACCTAAGAAACCGAACTGGAGAGCGGCGCGGGCGCGGGCTCGGTAGAGATAAAAAGAGACGATAGTGCCATCTTCTTCTTTCAGTTCACCGCCGACGCCGCCGCGCCGGCCCACGGTGGAATATGGTAGAACAAACGCATATCAAAATTGATTTTTATTACTGATTGAAATTGGGTAATATATGAATATAATTCAATAGTTCAAAAGTCGAAGTTTAATATTCTGCAGCGTAATTCATATTTTATTTCGTAAAAGTATTTTTTTTCATGTAGCAAAGTTAAACGTTTAGGCAGCTGGGAAATATTAAGTTCTTCATTTACGTTTTTCAACGTGAAATAGTTTTAAAAGTTGAAATGAAAGGTGTAAGGTATTATATATTTTTGAAAAGCACATTTATCAGAGGTTAGAAATAAATACAATTGATTGTTTTTAATACGAATATAAATTTAAAAACCAATTTAAAGAAAAAATGGAGAAAATTTTTTTTTTCCTCAACTTCGTCGAATCTTTTAATATTTAGAGTTGTTTACCGATGCTTTGAATTTAATGTTAAATTATAGGTTAGTTACTCATCTAAAACATATAAAAAAATTAGCTGCGGCTTTTTGCGGTTTTCGGAGATATGTGAAAAAATCGAATACTAGTCTGGGAACGGAAATCGCTATCAAATGCGGTTTCGTAGTTTACTTTTATTATCAATAGTTTGTGGTACATTTTATGAATTAATTATTTGATATTGTTATGTAGGTTTTATCATATCGATGTCATTTTCCTTGAGAAAATAGATATCTGAAATAATTCTCACATTCTGAAACAATATAAAAAGAGCAGTGAAAAAAGATGTCTCCATTACAGTTTCAGTGGTCTTTACGTCTACGTACTCTAGTAGGTACGGTTATTTCATTATTCAACATGTCTACTTTTAACTGTACTAAACGTGAGTTAATAGTGTCTTATATAGAAGGCGGAAAAACGACTGCGGCACTTTCAACATATTTGGAGGGAAAACAAATTTCGGATGTCAATATATGTTTTATTATTGACCATATTCAAAGGGATGTCATCCCTTCGATTAATAAACGCTGGAGTGAAGCAGGACGCAATAAAAATACCTTTTTAAGAAAGAACACCAATTGGTTGGATTCTGAATATTCGTTAACTATACCAACATCAGAAAACGTGTCAACAGACTCTACACCGTCTACCTCTTCTGGTAAACGAGGAAGACCGTGTGTGTCATATGGAGACTCTTCAGAATCAAGCAAAAAAAGAAAAAACACCATTTTGCTCTCGAATAGCTACAAACGAAGATGTGTTTAATACACTACTTTACACTTCAGATCCATATATAACGAGCATAAGAAAACCATATGCAAAAAATGTAAAGGAGCTCGATGAAGATACTTTACACCTTCTCAAGGTTAATGAACTTATTTCAGATCCTGAAGCTCACCGGGTGTAAGATGTCAATCTTGCTGAGCAAAAAAAAAGAAATATATATTGCGATAATTTTGATTTGTTTCTGTATGTTAGCGTAGTGTTAAAAATATTTTACCATTTTTAATTTTATATTATCAATATAATATGATAGTTATCTTAATAGAGTAATTAGCATTAAGAAATAGACGTACAATATGTTTCTAAAAAATATTTCAATAAATAAATAATACTAATAATACTATTTTAAATCATTTTGTGACTTTTCTTTTTTAATTAAAAAAAAATACGCATAATTCCAATTCATCAAACATTACTTATATGAATCCTTATGTATCACTTTATATTATAGCAAAATTTTATAAGTTTATCTTTCAAATTGACGGAGTTACAGATTTTTAATCCGAAACACACCGAAATATTCCACAGTGCGGCCGGCCGGCGTTGCATTGCCTAGGTTATACCTACTGACCAATTAACAATTAGATAATACGTAGATAATTACCTACATAACGGACATTGTGTTACGCATCGGTAGCGTTTTTTATCATTTTCCATAAATAATTTACGTATTTTTTAAAACATTACAAAACTAGAATTTAATTTAGTACAGGTAGGTACTATAAAAAAATGGGAATGTAAAACCGGGAGGAAACATTCATTCGTTTAATCTTCGTTGACTACGGATCCTTCCGAATTAAAAACGATTAATGTTCTTGTATTAGTATCGATTCATAGCAAGCTTCCAAAATAATTCGAATTGGTACAATCGTTAAAAACAACAATACTTAACACGTTTATGGGATAATAAAGTTACTTTTATTTAAAATCCAAGTAAAGTATGAATAATGGCTGTAATTTATTTATTTATTTAATCTGTATTGCCTTTACACTGCAAATGGCGGACTTAATGCCAATATGGCATTCTCTACCAGTCAACCGGAAAGAACTTACAGAGCTAGAAAAAAAACGGCAGAATCTAATTAAGTAATTGATTGCTAAAAGATATGGAACTTTGTTTATTTACTGGAATCAATCGAGTTTACAATTGTATTGGACGTCAGGACATACTGACGTCCACGAAAAAAAAATCCTAAGCAAAAGTGCAAAAATTAACACTAAACAATCAACATTGCTAGTGTTAAATTGTAAGGCGTTTTAGATTTGGTAAGTATCTTAGTTTCATTTTAATTACTATCGAAAAGACGTTAAATTTTTTTTGCGGTAGAGAGGACGGAATGTAAGGAATGACGAGCCTGTTTTAAAATATCATTTTGTCACCTGTTTAGATGGTACTTTAACTTTTTAATGAAACATAGCTCATTCCTCCGTAGGTAAGGTATTTTAAGAGAGGTAGGGCACAGCGGATTTTCCGCTTGAAATGGAGCGCCCGTCTGGTGAAGCAATCTCCACCTTTTGGTGGTGTTGTATTTCTGTTGGTGAGTAAGGTTCCAGGGCTTTGCGGGGTAGAGGATTGCGTTCAGGCCGGCAAGGTGAGGATGGCTAGAGCGAACACTTTCTGCCGCATCATCTTTCTTCGCGATTGGACTCCACTTACACTGAACATCAGGTTTGGGTGTGGTAATTCGTTGCGCCTCGTGTAAAAAAAACCTTCCTGTTATTATTAACATTTTTTTTGATGATTATGGCAATGTTAACCGTTAAGTATGGAAAATAAAAGCCAGAAGCATGGTTTAGTTTGTTACATAAACAATAAAAAATTTGGGAATCTACTTGAGTTTAAAAAAAAATATGGCTAGTGTAACTTTCATTTTAATTAAATGTTTTTTAAGCAAACCTAATAAGGGGTAAATGACTAATTTACGCATTTCGTTTTAATAAGTGGTTGGATTAAACCCCGGTGTTGACTAGGCACGTTCGGTTGTTGACCTACGTGGCAGCTGATACGAGCGCGGGCGCGGGGCACAGCGCGTCGGTGCGTGTGCATGCGTTGCTGTACATTTCTCGTTGTAAAGACAAAAGCCTTATTATGGAAGAAATACTAAAAAAAAAAATTATGTTCCTCAGGAAAAAAGTTTCTAAATAACGTTTAGAAAATATTAATGTAAAATTCTTGAAAAAAAAATTGTGACTTTGACCTCCAATATCTCCCTAACTATAAATTTCCCAGGTATGGTCCAGAAGAAAAAAATGATCGTCATGATGTGGAAAATACGTGGCCTTCGGCTTCGTTAAAGGTTTTTTTACACCCTGTATATACTTGATTTTTCATTTACCATGGCTTTGTTATGTCCAACATTAGAATTACACCACTAGCATTCTTGTACACATCCAAGAATGTTGCGTCCAGTATCGGTGTTTCATAACCATCTTCAGCAACAGGGGCAGCTTGATTTTCTAGTTTTAACCCAAGTGGTGGTTTCTTTTTTGTACGGCCTTTATCAACCACCTCCCAAACCTCTACCTGAAAAGTGTCATGCTAATTACATAAGTGAGCTTATATAGTTTAATGTTTTGAATTTTATCAAGCTTTAGTTATTATATATATTTCTAAAAGATGTTAATGTAAAACAATACAAATTTTAAAGTTAGTAAATAGGTTACTTCATATTACTTTTCTTGTAATTAGCTCCATAGTACAAACCTTTACAATATAATCAGTAGATTTATAAGTCCAATTAATAGCAGCCACTTGTATTTGATCAGTGGGAGCATATTCCTCTATGAAAGGCCCACCTTGGAGACGTTGGAGCAGACAAGACTTCCCAACATTTCTGTCGCCTTTGATCAATATCTTCACTGAAATTACAAAAAAACACAAAACGCTATAATTTATGCACGAAGTTATTGCAATTTATTTTGCAATAACTTCGTGCATAAATATTGCGGCTATGCCACTGCACTTAAAACATGACAATTAATATTTAATTTGATTTTAACTGACACACAATAATAGTAATAATGATCGGAATACTAATCAACAACCTTTTGATGCTTTTTAGGATTTCTATAAACACAATATGTAATAATATACTTAAATCATATAACTTATAAAATATACAAAAGGGTTTTAAAGTAGGATTATTTACTATTAAAGTGAACTCCACGAGAGAATTTCTTTTGTAATGACGAAGACATAGGTACAGGTGCTGCACAGCGGTCATCTCCACCTCTAGTAAATTTTTTTAAAGCAGAAAACATTGTTTTTCACTAGATATCAGAAACATAAAGTAATGAACTTTCAATTTTATTAAACAAATTATGAAATTAAATAAACCGAAATCGCATTTGTTTACGTGACAAAGTGACATTGACAGTTATTTATTATAATATTTTCAACGTTCTCTCTTTTTAGGGAAAGCAAATAGGACAATGCCCATACAGCCTATTCTTCGATTTTCTTTGTTCTTTCTTCCTTTTTTACATTAGAATGTGGATGTGACATATTCTAATATGTCTTGAAGTGTTTGGCACGAAATGTATCGAGTAAGCTTTCTCGATAAGCTTCTGTGAGGTAGTCAACACAACAATAAAGTTCTTACGTCCACTTGTCCCGAATAGCGTACATTTTAAAGATTCCACTAATTCTATAAATGTGCAGAGTTGCAGACGGTAGGAACAGAAAATCACACCAATTTTTATTTCACAATATCCACTATGGACGAATTAAAGAATAAATAAAATCGCCTTATTTAAACGCACACTATGAAATTCTGCCAAAAGCTCACAGTTCTTATAACAGTCTTTGAGTATCTATTGAACGGGAGAAACCATGCACTTCATTCCATACAAAAGTTTCTGTCTAACGAAAATATGCAATACTCACACAAACACAAGCGTTTTGTTCCTATGAAAGCACGCGTCACAAAAAACCGCACACACGCTACTAATTTTTGTTTGCAAATTATATTGCAAACAATCTTGCTAATTGAGCTGCGTTACTACCCTGCCTACATTTATTACCTTTGACTCCCCTTCATGATACCAAACGCAGTATTTTGTCAAAAAACACTGTGTAACAATTTTTTTTTTAGTTTTCCTGATATTGCTTCCTTCGATGATTTAAGAGGTTACTTACTTGTTACTTGTTACTTATTGTGGGCCCCCGTTTCCGCACGTAGACTCCGTACTTGGTCCATTGTGCGTGCAGGGTATGTTGGGCTAGCTAGCTCAGCCAGCCCAGCTCCTTCCAGAAGCGCAGTAGCCTCCTGGGGCTCTCACAGGCTTCTAGGAGCGTCCTCGGCTTCCTGAGGATTGATGCCCGGTGTTCTGCAACGCTCGTGCATTCCAGGATCACATGAGCGGCCGTTTCATCTGCTTCCAGACATCCTCTGCATAGAGAGCTATCTGTAACGCGTATGGTTAGTAAATGCTTGTTAAGTGGGCAGTGCCCTGTTATGGTGCCTAGCATTACTCGGAGATCATTTCGGTTAAGGTTTAGTAGTTTTCTAGTTAGTCTGGGGTTGAGGTTGGGAAAAATATCCTTAGATTGCCTGCAGCCCTCGGTATTCGCCCAACGGGTGTTATGGTTCTGTGTGGTTCGTTGCCGCATCCATGTACGAAACTGATTGAAAGGTAATGGCAGAAGTGGCTCAGGGCCTTCCACTTTCTGTGATGATCCCCTTCTAGCTAGTTCGTCGGCTGCGTCATTACTCACAGAACCGCTATGTCCCTTGATCCATTGGAGGATAACCTTGTTATCCGTTGCTATGTGCTCCAATGCCAGGTGACATTCGTATACTAGCCCAGAAGTTTTGCTGTTACTATCTAGGGCTCTTACGACAGCCATACTATCAGATAATATACGTATCTTGTAGTTTTTGACTTTCCTATTAATGACAGCGGTGGCGGCCTGAGTAATAGCTATACATTCACATTGGAATATTGAGCTGTAATCACCCAGTGCTGTTGATATATGGATGTTAAGGTCCAGTGAGAAGACTCCTGCGCCTGATCCGAATCCTGGTATTTTGGATCCATCAGTGTAAATGCGTAGTTCGTCTGTGCCCGACCAGTCCTTGTTGGTTTCTAGTAGTTCTATTTGATATCTTCTATCAAATGTATGAGTAGTCGGGATTTTATCACAGCGGGCTGTTACCATAGGTTGGTATTGTATAGCCCTTTCCAGAATTCTGGAGTGAGGTCCCTGGTTTACCGTCCACAAGCCCAGATGATACATTCTTAGCGCTGCCATAGTTGCTTCCTGTTGTATAAACAGGTCGAGTGGCGGCATGTCGAGCGCTATTTCTAGGGCATTTGTAGGTGTAGATTTCATGCAGCCTGTTAAAGCAGAGCATGCTAGTCTTTGAAAACGCTGCAGTTTATTAATTGCGGTGTTTAGTTCAGTTCTAGGCCACCAAACTATTGCACCGTAGGTGATGAGTGGTCTGATTATGGTTGTGTAAAGCCATTTTGTGATTTTTGGTGCAAGACCCCAGGTTATACCAAGTAATCTTTTGCATTGCCAAAACGTGATACAGGCTTTGTTTATCTTTTGGTCTAAGTGGTTGTTCCATGTTAGCTTATGATCAAGAACTATGCCTAGATATTTGACCTCGCTTGACATAGACAGTTCGGTTTTAAATAACTTGGGCAATTTAACGGTATCCAAGTTACGTTTTTTCGTGAACATGACCATCTCTGTTTTGGTCGGATTCACCGATAGTTGGTGTTTAGTACACCATGTTTCAACTATTTTGAGAGCGTTACTCATTAAGTTGCACAGCACATTCTGGAATGGCCCGCTTATGAGGATAACTAGGTCGTCCGCATAGCCGACTGTGTACTAGTTGCGTTGATTGAGTTGGCAAATTAATTCGTCAACCACAATGTTCCACAGGAGAGGGGATAAAACGCCTCCCTGTGGGCAACCCCGTGCCACTACAGCTCTCTTCGTAGTGTTCACAGTCACTTGTATTGCTCTGTATTTTAGCATGTTGTTGATCCACCCCGTAGTCGTGGGGTCAACTCCATGTCTGACAAGTGCTTGGCTGATGCTGGTAAAGTTTGTTTTATCAAAGGCGCCTTCGATGTCAATGAAGACCCCGAGCGTTGATTGTTTTGGTGATAATCCACGTTCTATTTGTCTGACTACGTTGTGTAATGCGGATTCGGTGGACTTGCCCATGCTGTAGGCGTGTTGATTTGCATGAAGTGGTACACGCTTTAGAGCATCATCTCTCAAGTTTCTGTCACACATTCTCTCCAGCACCTTTAGGAGGAATGATGAATGGTATGAATATAACTTTTAACCTCTATGCACTTGGTGGGTATGTACCGATAGGCAAGACATCCTGTGTAGATTCGCAGTAGATACTCGAGTATCGATTCTTCGCACCTTTGCAGTAGGCCCGGAAAGATGCCATCCAGACCAGCTGCTTTAAAAGGGAGGAAGCTTTTGATGGCCCAAGTTAATGTGTTGATTTTAATGATTTTGCGTGCAGTTGTCCAGTCAGCTAAATCCGGAACCGCGGATATCTCATCTTCCCAGTCTTAGTCGTCTTTAGTATTACAGCCTGGGAAGTGAGTATGCATCAGCAGCTCACAGGTTTCAGCGTCAGTTTTTGTGAAAGTATTATCAGCCTTTTTGAGGTAACCTAAATTGCGCTCGGGATCGCTACTTAGTATTTTCCTCACTCTAGCGGCATGATTGTTGTCTTGGATATCGCTACAGAAACGCTTCCAGCATTCAGCCTTTCTGAAGCGGATGCATTTTTTGTAGCGTGACTGTGCCTCCTTGTAGAGGATCCAGTCGTGTTCGAGTCTGGTGTTTTTTGCTCTGTTGAACATCTTTCTTGCCCTACGTCGCAACTTATCCAGTTCAGGACCCCACCAATTGTGTTTGCCTTTGGCTGTTGTGCGTTGCTGTACTAGTGGGCATGATTGTTCATAACAGACGGTTAAAGTTGATGTTAGGTTATTCACATGTGTGTCTATTTTCATTGGATTTTTGTAATCCGCTGGCAAGTGGAGACACTTCAGACTGGCCGTGATTAGTGAAAAGAATTTCTTGCGGTCAGTCTTACGTGGAATGCGTCGGGGCTCTGGTGGTTTATTGTTTATATGAAGATAAAACCTAATCCATCTGTGATCCGAGCAAGATGCTTCGTCGGATACGTGCCAGTCAGTGATGAATTCAGCAATCCTCTCACTGGTTAGGGTAAGGTCGATTATTGTCTGGGCTCTTGATGTAACAAAGGTAGGTTCAGAGCCTCTGTTGATAATTTTTAAGTTTGTTGAGAAAAGGTAGCTAGAAAACTCCTCACCTCTGGTATTGGTGTCGTGGCTGCCCCAAAGTGTGTGATGTGCGTTGGAGTCAGCGGCGATGATAAGCTCCAGTCCCTCTTGCTCGCAGTGTGTCACCAGCCTTTCGAACTCCGGTAAGGGGATTTTGGCGTCGCCCGGACAGCCGGCCTTTTTTGGCCGGTTGTTCCTGGCTTGTCCTGATCGTTTGCCGCGTGGTCGCAACAAATCGCTGCCTTGCTGCTCGTCATCCGGTTTCTGAGGTGCCTTTTCAGCAGGTTTCTCACCAGCAGGCCGGCTTGTGCCAGCCGTGCCGGTGGGCTCCTTACTTACACGGGCGGCGTGAGTCGCGGCGGACTCTTCAGCAGCCTCTGGCTGCTTACTCCCCCCAGTCTCCAGCGCGCGCATCTGCCTCGCAATAAAGCGCGCTTTCGCGCGGCGTCTGTTGCGGAGTACATTGGCCGGTGTTGCATCGGCCAACGACTTCTTCGGCGGTGGCATTGGTTTGTTGGTTGGTTTCACGGACGGTTTGTCAGTAACCTTTCTGCTCCGGACCTCCACGCTCCAAGACGCAGTCCCCTTCGGGGTAGTATCCGGGATTGCGGCACCGATAGCAGATAGGTCCATGACCTCCCGTGTCGTGACGGTGTTAGTTTGTGGCGCATCCGAAGACGCAGCCGTGTGCGTGTGGGTAGCCTGCGCTTCCGAAGATGCAGCGAGCTTCGGCGCATCCGAAGACGCAGCCGTGTGTGGTTGTTTAGCCTGCGCATCCGAGGACGCAGCGGGCTTGTTGGTATTGGTCATAGAGGTTTTGAATTTTAAATGTTCCATGAGTGTTAGTGCAAGATTTCGTTCCCAGCGGCTTTCCACCCTCCTCGGAGCCCGCAAAGTGGGAATATAGGACTCCAGCCCCGTGGGTCTACGTCCGGTGACCAGTTTTGGGTTGCCACGCTTTCGCATGGGTCCGCAACCGGGCCAAACGCTCCCGCCAGTTCAGAGTCCTCGCCTGACTTGGATGTTGGTAAGTCGAGCCGATTGACCCCAGTTGGCTACTCTGAGGCCTCCCGTTTAGGCTGAAATCAGGGCCAAAGAGGCGTGTTGCTGTGGTGGTCACCAACAGCTCAACCTCCAGGATCCCTTCATCCCTCCGCACGGGTCTCCACGCACGGCAAACACGCGGGTGGTCAATTCAACCTGCCATCCTGGTTTTTCGGATGACTGGCCCATTTCGGCGTGACCACGTCGTCGATTATGGCGGATTACGATTAGGATACATAGGAATGGGATGGGTAAGGAATAGGCTAGTTGACCCTTTTTGGAATAAGGTTTTAAATGGTTAATAAATGTTCTATTAGACCGAAAAAAAAAGTATTGTATTTTTTTGAGACCTAGAAAGCTACAAATCTTTAATTTTAAAATAGAATTTTCATGGACATACAAAAACGCTGTCGGCCATTTAAGTCTATAGATTGGCTATGCTATGATGTCAACTGTAGTAAACAAAAACTCGTAAGCACGTAGAAAATAACTTTCTGAGTTTATAATAAAAAGAACATGATTTCTAATAAATATCACGAAAAATAAAGTAATTATCATTATTGTATTGTACGAGAATATAAAAACACATCCTTGAAGACTCCAGGAATGTTGTGGATTAAAGTGCCGAAAGAAATTAACTAACGCAACTTTATTACACTTAATTCATATAAAATTCAAAAAAAAATTCAAAATTCAATATCGTTTATTCAGTCTAGGCTGTTACAAGCACTTGTGAATGTCGAAAAGCTACGCCATCGGTTCGCAAAACTACGGCGGGAGACCTTGTACTGAGAAGAACCGGCAAGAAACTCAGCAAGGGCTGCTTTTTTCTCCTGTTTTATTTCATACAGTGTCGTCCAATTGAAAGTTGACATCAAACTTGCAAACATGTGTTGAGGTCAACTTCCATCACATAATGTCAAATATGTAACAATCAATGAATTTACTAACAATAAGTGCAAAGATAAGTCCCAAAATAGCAAGAAACAATTTTCAAAATAAAATGAACAATATATTGTATCAGTATTATGTTTATTACTACATTGTAATACTAAATGCACTTTACTTACATAGATGCCTTGTCATTTCTCTGCTCCGCAGAGCAGAAATCGGGGTTCAGTGCAAAAAATTCACCAACCATCAATGCGTCAATTCTTGGCAGATTTGTGCTTTCTGCTTTCACAAAGCCGGCATCCTTTAATTAGTTTTGTCAAAAAAAACCAGTAAACGGAAACTTTTCTAAAGTTAAAAGTGTTTTAAGAAAAAAATATTCAGACTAAAGAATCCACCCATAACAACACGCGAATGACATTTAGTTGTTTACTGAAAGAGACGTCACAATCATGGCGGATGTAGCGAACAGCGTTTTTAGTGTTTAAAAAATATAGACTAAAAAATATTTTTTTAAATTAAATTTCTACAGCAATCTTCTGCTTTTATGAAGTGAAATCGATATATTTAGGTTCCTTAGACCAAATACTGTAAGAAATAAACATTTATTTAATACAATTCGACATGAGTCAACTAGCCTATTCTGTGGGAGATGCGTCAGGTAGTTTCGGTTGCACTCTTCATCAAAAGGATGAACAATGCGTAACAGGTGGCAACCGCGGGAAGGATAACATACCTGGCTTGCCTTAAGGATCTACACGACTGTAGCGCTCTCCCCTAGGGCCATTCGCCTAATCACACATCGGACAGATGTGTGAAAAAGGGGCATGCTTAGACCAACCCTGCTTAAAGGAAACTTTACTGGTGTTAAGCCCACCCCCACCCAAAATCGAAGAGGTTAAAAACTTTATTCTGTGTGGTAAATCAGAAAATACTCAGTGATTCAAAGATCAATTCCATTATTTCAACGAGTGCTACGCTAGCGCACGCTTGATCCAAACTGATAAAGAAATATATATTTTAGAAATACATATTGAGCACGTACGTATGGAGCTCGTTAGCGCAGGTGAAGAGCGCGTTCGGTCTGCGATCATGGAGGTTAAGCAACTTTCACAATGGTCGGTCTTTGGATGGGTGACCATAAGCTTATTATCTCGAACTCCTCTGTGCTTCGGATGGCACGTCAAGCCGTTGGTCCCGGCTGCATCTGCAATAGTTAGCACCCACCAATCCGCACTGGGCCCGCGTGGTGGGTCACGCACGATCCATTATCTCTCCACATTATTTGGAAAAAATGACAAGAATGATCCTCTGTCCCACAATATAAGTCATATATTATTTTTGAGCATTGGAAGATATATAACAAGATGTGTTTGTTCCAACAGATAACAAAATTGTCAATTTTGAAGTATGAAGAAATCATTTTATGCAAAAACGTTACTATTGCCAAAATAAAACAACCTCCTGCATAAACATGAAACAATAATAAATTCAATTAAAATAAAAAAAAAGATGTATTGATATCGGAATCGCCTTTTTTAATAAGACCAATAATAATATGTGTATTGTATTCATAGTTTTTTAGAGTGCTGATAACGAATACGACAATAATTTTGAGATCCAAGATGGCGAAATCTTATTTTTACTTAACTGCGGCGGGTAACGTCCTTCGAGTGTATGTAAATTTAAATAGGTATAAGTATGTATGCATGTCCGTTTCTTTGGTACGCCCTACAGCCTGAACGACTTGACATGCGAGGTATCATTTGATTTATCGTGACTGTGTATATTTAAATTACAAAAAAAAAAACTAAATCTGTGCTTAGAAACCCTATACTTTCATACCCCAACTTTTGTTTTAGGTTGTTTCATGAGTGAAATATGGCTGATATTTTGCGCCAAAATGAAAAATCTTGAAAAAACAGCTTAAATCACCTTTGAAGTTGCTATTAAGGTGAAGGGTCTTAAAAGACGATTCAGAAAATATAAATGAAATTATGCAAATTACATGTATATTTTATTAAATTTAAGTAATTTAAAAATAATAAAATATATTTTTTAATAAAAAAAAATGAAACAAAACCAGAATTTTGTACGGGACCTATTAGAAATTCCAATAATGGATAAAATTTTTCCAATAATTGTTCCCGACTGTTAAAGTACCTTTATTCTTTACTTGACCAGATTTTAGACTACTAACCTTGTTTGTTTTCATTTAAATTAACTTTTTAATCAGGCGGAGTTTTGTTTTCAAATAAAGTTAATATGAGTATTTATCGAATTTATAGTTTCATGTGGAGCTGATTACGAATACTATATTTATCTCGAGATTATTATTAATGTTTCAGATTTTGGAACTATGTCCTAATGGCACTGTAGTCACTGCAACTGAAAAAGCCCCTGAAAATCCCCCTCTGGGGGATGATGGCTTCAGATCAAGCTTGTAGGGGCATTCTGGCCATAAGCATGTAAAACGGATGTATTTAAGTCAGTAAGAGTCTGACATAACCTTGCAGCCGGCTGTAGGCTATCTATTTTATCGCGTCTACATGTCAATTGGACGGGGCGTGATAGAAACGAACGATATGTCACAACGCGGTGCTCATGCTAAGTAGGTATCTAAGTAGTCTGTGATGCTAAGGGGGCAGGTTTGTGTATGTTTTATGTACTCACTTACCACAGCTTATTTAATAAACCCGACTCCATTTCTCAATAGCTTCTCAGATCAACTCGGCCGTCAGCACACTGACAAACCATTATCATTTTTACCAAGGGAGTAAAGAACTACATATTTTCCCCTTTTCCATATACCCCTACTGCCATAATATCTCCACTAGTAGGGAAGGCGAGACCATTATTACCGTGGCGAGACCGCGCTAACCACCTGCGCCTTCGTACGAATTACGTATACCTATATCGTAATTTGTACTATAGATAGCGTAATGTGATTATGTGTACGCCCTGCCCTAAAATAAGCTTTCCGTGCTGTCTATCATAGCGTAGTTCATTATTGTACTACGGGTAATGTACGGTTTCAACCATGGTCCAGTCAACCGGACTATCCCAATCGTACTACCGGCAATGCACGCAGACTACTTTCTTTGTGGTATTTATTCCTGATCCAATCTACAGTCTTCTGTTTTTCAAACCTAGGTGAAGGAATTCCAAGAGTTTACAAAAGTAAAATAAAAGGTGAAGTATTGAATTTTTTAATGAATTATTTGTCAGTTTTGTTTTACATTAGTTCAGGTCACTATTTTTTATTGGTACGTACCAGCTTATCAGCTTACCTAACACAAATATCTTGAGATAAAACCGCCAAACTTGATTGGCAATGAATTGCTTTCATGAATTATTCTTCACAAGTTTCTCATTGCTACGTCAAGGAAGGCTTGTTACCCAATATCATTCGCAATCGAGAGGAGGGGGCTCGCATTCGCCAGGCAGGTGGTTCACGTGTGGGTTATGGAAGAGGCTCTCAACTCCGTCTCTCCAAGGGAATCTCTTTGTTCTTATACGCATGTACTCGAAATCGCGGCAGTCTTTTTTATGCGGCGGCTCCCCGCCAAGAAAATTATATGACATTATCAAAATGATTGGAAGCCCCACTCCTAATGCTAAGGCTTTGTATTTCTTCCAAGTGTCCTTGCCGTGGTGGTAGCGAGGCACGCATGGGTTAGGTGGGATAGGGCCTGGTCTGCAGCTGCTTGATGGAATCCTGCGCCCGCTCCCTTGGCCCGATCCGCATGGTCCACACAAGCGTGGAGGCGGAGGACAGCAATGGCTGTATCTTATTCCCTGTACCTTGCTAGTAGAAGCAAGGAAGGGAATGCATTTTGGGTAAATTAACATTTACCTTTATTACTGAGCTTTCTATGTCTATTTTTGAATTTTACTAAAATTTTGATAAATTTGATATTACATTTTTTCTATCGTGCCGTTTTGTTGATATTGTTGGATTGACTGAGTCATTAATGATTTTCGTCTTAAACTTTTTTCTTTTGATACAAGATTGGAAAATTAGTAAGAAGGTAGATACAGAACAGAAGAATATTCTTCAAAGAGTATATCGTTATCTTCTCAAAACTTTTGATTATTAGGAAAAAAAAACAAAATGTCAACAACTGTCAACCAATGTCAAACAAAAAGAAGATTTCAAGAAACCTCAAGAAACAGGCATGAGTAACAGGTTACATAAACTGCACAAAGTGTAAAAATGAGAAAATTTAAAAAATCATAATATAAAACAGTGATATACCTAGTTTATATCACTGTTTTCAAAATTATTTAAAATATATAAAAATGCTTGGGTTAGGAAACTCAACAAGATTTAGTCATGCTATCTTCAAGACTGGAAGAGCCAACTTAATTATTAATAATCAAATAGCCAACTATGTCAGCAGCACTTGTTGTCCACCGCCCAAAAGACCGTCTGGACGTGCTCCGGGTAAAAGTATCGGTAGGTGTATACCTCCTGTTCCTCCAAAATGTGGCGGTTGCAGACCTCCTATAGCACCTAACCCTTGCGTACCGCGATTTCACCACGGCAAAGACACATGGAAGAAATACAAGTTTGTCGCTCTGTTTATTTGTATGCCTATAATAATAGCGCAGGCTTTTCATTGCCTACTACAGGACCATCCACACAAAGGACCGTGTCGGGACTACGAGTACATGAGATTGCGTACTAAGAAGTACCCGTGGGGCACAGGAGACGAAACTTTCTTTCACAACGAAAAGGTCAACCATCTGCCTGGAGAGTGCGAGAACGCACCGCTTGATTGTGATTAAAATATTGTACGATATGATCCAATAAAACCTGTTTATTTGTGCGAAACTACAATTTCACTATACTCAGATATACCCTTCGAAGTAGTAATTTAATTACTAGCAACGTCTATCTGTAATAATGCGGTTTCCCGTTTTACCCTATAAATTTTATTTTTACGACAAAAAGTTACTCTCCACGGAGTCCTATCAAATCTACACAAAAATTTATGATAATAGATTCAGCGGTTTAGGCCTGAAATCGTAAATAATAAACTTACACTAGAATTATATTAAGCTAAGTAGCATTCAACACCATCATTGACTGTTGACATCATTTATTTTATGTTTAGTCTTAGTTTGATCTGATCTCTTATCCAACAAAATGACGACTGGCTTCAATTGGTGACCGTCAGGGTGGCATATCGCTTATTTTAATACGCTTTGAAACCACTTGAATTGGAAGCCAAGAATTGTTTCCCATTTGCTTCCTTCATGAGAGATTTGCTCTCCCAATATTTAAAGAATGTGGCTGGCATCTCACCCGTAGAATATGAACCTAGTGCAATTTCAGGAGTTTTCATATATGCCAAAAATTGCTTCCTTAAAACTTTATAAGCCTCTATTCTGTAGCTATACAGGAAGTAAAAATATGGGCACTTAGGCACAGAATATATATGTCGTGGCCATATCGTAGATTTGCTCATTTCATGAAATGGTCGCATTATATGATGTGGCCAACTTAATTTGAGCAGATCATTAAATCGTCAACGTTTAACGATTTTGTCATCCACATTTGGCCGGATCGTATAATTAGGGTGTCCATAAAATATTTAATAAAAATGGATGCGTGTAACTTATGTACGCGCGTGAGTAGTTATACTTCTTTAGCATCATTAAAAATATTTTTTAATTGCATGCAAATAATTAATAATTACAATAAAAGGACTGGAAAAGGATAGTTAACACAGTCAATTAAGTTCAGTTTTAATTTGAAAAATTAAATAAATATTCAAAATATTCAATTAAAATCACTACTGAATTTAAGTTATTAGTCCATATGTAATTAGCACTTGTAAGTAACTAAAACACGTTGTGTCTATATAGAAACTAGAAACATGTGGATAAATATTATAAATATGCCAACATTGTTTTTGACAACGCGATCATCTTATGGAGCTCCGTGGATCGTTCAAAGTACCTTTAGAACAGATGTCTAATAATGGTGGATTATTAACCACTAAGTGGTTAATAATTAACCATTATTTTTGTAACACCATAGTATTGAATATCATCACGCCGCCCGTTACTAGATGGCGCTGTACGCATGTGAATCGCGCTATCCTATACCGACACCGATTGTATGGCACATCATAGGATCAAATATCATCACGCCGACCGCTACTAGATGGCGCTGTACGCATGTGAATCGTGCTATACTATACTGACACCACTTGTATAAGGTGTTCTTGGGAAATTGACCAAGTCATCGCTTCGTAGGTAGGGCCTATTGTCTTGCACGCTATACGCTTCCACCACGTGGGACGTCTTAGTGTCTTGATAATAGTATACATGTACTTCCACCCTTGTGGGATACAGTAATACCATTTCTCCTACAAATATTGAATAGTAATCACAATATAAGTATTTTCTACCTACGCCTATCTTTATTTGACGTCAGTCTTCTCACACTCCCCCTTCGCCCTCCCGCACATTCTTACAGTTTTATTAAATAATAAATATGAAAACAGTGATCAGAGGCGACGAGCGTCCCAACATGTGCGACTAAGAGATCCTATTACTATTTTGTTGGAAGCTTTTTTTCGAGACTTCCGAGTACGAGTAATGTGCGGTTTAGCGGCCGACTTCATGGTGTTACTTTTCTGTTACAGTGTTGCGCGCGCATCTTAAAATTTCACTCTCATCATTTTTTCATAACGCGCCCGCGGCTAACTTCATTATGTTACTTTTGTGTTACAGTGATGCGCGCGCATCTTAAAATTTCACTCTCATAATTTTTTCATAACGCGGCTAAAGAAGTATAACTTCAAAAATCCAGAATATGTTAAGAACTTATTTATTGTCATTTGAGTCCGAATGACACAAACAAATTGAATCATATTTTTTTAGAAAATACACAAATCAAAGATTTTTTCTAAATTTAACATCAACGTGTCATGTAGTTACACAAATGTAAACGTCATTTACATTTAGAAAACTAACAAATATTTGGAAATAAAAAGGTATTTTGGTACATATTGCAATAGTAGGCTCGATTCTCATCCGTACTTTTTACTTCATCCGCAGTTTCCAAAATGTCATATTTTAGCAGCCAGTAATAGTCGATGGATTTCTTTTGCGTAGTCACCCTACTCTCCTTAATTTGTTTCATAACCTAAAAAAGAAAAAACATTACCTTTATTATGTCATAATTGACAAACGAAGAATAATATTAATTTAATAGAAACACAATACGTTAACTGGCATAAAGTATTTTAATAAAATAAGTGAATAATGATGTAATTTAAGAGTAAAGTACTAACCTGTGTAATGCGATCCAACCCACGGTTTTTTTACATTTTACTCAGTTTTTGCTTAACTTGATTAGTACTCGAGAACCTTTTCGTCGAAAACCCTTTTGTTATCACTTTCTTCCTCATTTAATAACAAATTATGCACTTTATCACTGCGAGAAAGAACATTGTCGGCAGCGGCCGCCATTTACAAATATAAACAAAGCGCTTGCAGTGCCTCTACCGGTAACTAATTTAACAACTTTACGATATGATCAAATAATTTTGGCCATTTCATGAAGAAGCCGCGTTTAGTTGGCCATATCGTGAAACGATTTCTCATCATTGATCTGCCCAAACCACATCATGATGTGGCCAATAGATAGTGAGACATTTCATGAAATGCGACCATTTCATGAAATACTCGAGCATTTCATGAAATGAGCAAATTTAAAAACACAGTTAGAATCCCTAACGTTTTATCATATAAACACAAAATATTAGCAATATTTCTTTTTGGCGTTCCCATGTACGTCGTTGCATGTCAAGTTGTGACTAAAGCGATTAGGGTCGTAGACCACAATTAGTGCGGATCACTTTTGTGAGGCTAGTGTAATATACCTTTTTTGTTTTAATCTAAGACTAGTGCTCAACTACTCGCCGATCAATCAGTACGGCGCCAGCGCCCTTCGAGGTAAGACTTATTTCATTTTTTAACCGCACGCATCCCGAGCAATTTTATGTAAGCAGCTGACGCATAATCCCCCCCTCGACGATGCAGCTTACGATATTTTTTCAGCTCTGAATGATGTCAACTATTTATGAAAAAAGTTTCAGCCGGCGGCGTACTATTACTTAATTTTTTTTAACAGTTCCGCGAGCTCCCTTCCACACCTACCGCCACTTGAGCAGCTGACGGTCGCTTCAGTTATAAGTCATATCATATAAGACTTGCAAAGGTATTATTATATATTGCATTCTAATGTAATTTATTAAAAATAATTACATAATCACATTTAAGCGCACCTAGTGAACAAATTTAAGAATAATTAAAACAAAAAATATACTATAACAATGAACCTAAAACTAAAAACCTTAAAAAATAAAATATAATAACTAAAATACATTATTAAAAGGAGTCCCTTTAGGCAAGGTTCCGAAGATACTGGCAGCGTTCCCCCTTTGGATAGCTAGACTAATTCTTTGTCCGAGGTAGCTGCCAGCTCTTCGGTCTCCTGTGATGTCGACTAATCTTTTTGCAATTTCTTTAAAAAGGCTTATAGCGCTAGGACCCCACGGATATCATATAAGATCAACTATCAATGTTAATATCAGCCGGGTCACTATGACTTTTGCATTTGCAACGCTACCTCCCGGACTATTAACGTCGGATTTGTAAATTATTCATGTTTGTGGAACTACAGTGATTCACAAACATGACTGTAAAGCCGGGTACTCATTAGCTGTAACCGTAACATGCGTGATACAGTACGAGGTTCTAGTGTGTACGCTTGTAGCTCAGTTGTAAACGTCGCCGTGTCGCCGTCGTCGGCTCGTTGCAAACCGCTCGCAGCAGGTTAGCGAACCACGTACTATGCTTTTTGGTTACAGTGCATGCAACGGTAACAGTTACAGCTCGCTAATGAGTACCCAGCTTAAGCGGTCTTAGTACCATAAGCTATAAACAGATCCGCATTAGCCTACTATTATATAAGCTATCATTGAAATAGTGAATGTATTTTAATAAATACGCTATCACGATGTTTCATGATAAGTAATATTATGCTGCAATTTCATGATTTCAGCAGCTACACCCTGCCCTTTACATAGATATAAGTAAAGTGCAGGGCGTAGCTGGTGAAGTTATTTAATAATTAAGCATTAATAAGGCCCGTATTACACAATGACAACTAAGTGTTGATCATTACAGTATAGTTAAAAAGGGATGTCAATATGTGCTATACAAAGCGACATCCCTTTCTTACTATACTCTAAAGCTGTAGCAAACCGTATGTATTTGGTACTGAGTAACGGGTGCGCCATCTAGTACCGAGTAACGAAACGTTACACACAAATAAATTTCGTTATTCGCATTTTTCGTAGTATGACTATCTATATGTTTCAGTTTACGCAAGTACAGTTGATGTGTGTATAGAAACATTTGCTGATCGTATGTTTTAAGTATTCGCGAGCATATTCGGAGAATTTAAAAACGTTTTTGGCCGGATTTCATCGAGTGCGGTTGGCGTCTTATTTTAATTATTCTTAAATTCGTTCATAGTGGCTATTGTGAAATAAAATTGGTGTTATTTTGTGTTACGGTACTAAATTCCATTAGTTGTGGTGGAATTTCGGGGTAGTTTTGATGTGGGGGGTAGGAGGGGGTCTTCCCGACTCCCCCCCTACTAAAGATTTTAGTCGGAATTGCATGTTTTTTTTTAATTAACCTAACCTAAAAATTCATAATTTTTTTAGGATGCAAAGACTAGGGAAGTAAGAACCAGTAGTTCTGCCTTATCTCCGGCGCTGCGGGAATAGCAGCCCCGCCGCCTTTGCGTGACAAAGTCACAAGCATCACTCTCCTTCACACCTTCGGCTTGTTGGTCGCCATCTCCGGCGGCGACCAGCCTCAGGCGCTACGACGGGTCGCACGATGCTTGCGGCTTTGTCACAGCAGGCGGGAGCTGCTCTCCCTACGCGCCTCCGGGCTCTAAAAAACACTCTAGGGGTAGGGCAGACCAAGA